TGATACTTAAAATAAAATTGAAGGATCATTAATGTCCAAAGATCTTGCCAGTGTCAGTGTCATCCTTAAAGGTCATAGGGTAAAAGGAATTTTTTCACCACCAGGTGTGGTTTGTCTAAGGAAACTATTATTATCATCTTCAGTTCAAATAAGCAAAGTTTTCCGATTAAGCAGTGAAGTATTTTATCCAAGAAATCTTATTTGACTCCTTTTTTGCAGCATTTTTGGGTGAAGAGACTGAACGTTTAAATTTGCTGGAAAGGAAAATCAAACGCCCACGACTTGCAAGCACTGATGCAGAGGAAATTTCTGAAGATTTAGATGTAAGACATAATTGAGAAATAAGTAAAGTAAAGAAATAAACAGATAAGCATTGCTTATTTGCAAATAAAACAAAGATAAAAAAACTTGTGTTAAAATCTTTGTCATATATGAAGAGTTTAATACAGAGCATTCCTTTTTGTTGTAGGACATAGAAATCTGTCTGCAGGACCATACCCTGGAGAAGAAGAACCGACTACAGAAGTTGGGACAGGACCTGATGGCTAACTCTATCATGGTGGACCACATCAAGACACAGCTGGACACGTATAGTGACCGGTGGAACATCCTTGACTGCCAGGTTAGTAGGAGGGATATTTCTTAAAATTTAGATTTTTAAAACATTTTTTTTCCTGGCCAATACTTCCATTTTGCTGTACATTTATGATATTCATCCCAGTCCCAGTGTCTGAGTAGTTCTGAATGTCCTCAGCTGGTACATAAAACATCTGTCCTAGGAACTATGTGCTTGATTTATCTTGAGATGATAGTAGAATTGAGTTCCTTGATGATTCAATACATATATATGTATATATGTAGATTTTACCTTACACATGGCAGTGAAAAATGAGCCAGTTCATATAAAGCAGTAAATTCAATTGTCATTCTAAGACTTTGTATAATCTTTCAGCAAAACATCAACAGTGTTTTATAACATAACGTAATTTTTGCAATTGTACATTGTAGGCAAGGGAGAAAATCCACAATCTAGAGACCTCCATTAGTCAGGCCCAGGACACAGAGAGGAAGATTCTAGAAATGACAAACTGGATGTCCGACATCGCGGACCTCCTACAGAAGAGGATCGATGCCGATGTCGTAGCTGGCGATGTACCAGGGGAGTACGACTCGTTAAAGGAGGAATTCAAACAAAACGAGGAAATGCTGGGAGAATTGGAGGCGTATTCTGCGGATTTAGAATCACAAGGCAACATGGAGGCCAGTGCAAGGCTGCACGAACAGATTGAGTTGCTGCGGAAACATTTCGCTGACGTGTCAGTGAAATTTCGGAAGTTTCAGAGGCCGGCAGACTTTGAGCCGAAGTTTAATCGAGTGAAGCGGGAGTTGGATAGCATTGGGGATCAGATACACTTAGTGGAGGTGGGGTCGGAAGACCCAGGGCTGCTACAGGAAAAGTTAGACATCTGTGTGGTGAGTGGCAAGATACTGTAAACATATTACATTTAGTTGTGTATTCTCTTGGCGCCTTTGGCAGAGAGCAACTTCCGCTAATTAAAGGACAATGCTTAATGTCTTGCACATGTAGAAATAAATAAAAACATAAGTTAATCTTCGATAACTTGTTCAAAATTCAATATCCACCAAATATTGTACATGCTAAGTATAATACATTTGCAGTATCTTTTTGATTCTTTAACTTTGAACCTTTTACCAATGTCACTTGGAATTCAGTCTGTTCTGAAAGAAAAAAAAAATAAAATATCTGTCAGTGTAATGTGTACTTTTTCCTTGTTTTGGCATGCAAGAATAGAATCATTCATCATCTCTGTGATAGTAAATATGCTTTATGAAAAAAATAGTCCTCTTAACTTTAAAGAGTTCATTGAAAAATCCAGACCAATGAACTAAATGATGTAATTACACATGTTACAAGACCTATTATAAATCTATCTGCAAAATGCTTATGTATCTTCTACTTCTATGATTATCAATTCTTTGATTTAGAAAAAAAGTATAGTATCGTAAATCATTTGTAAGATTTATGGATTTCTGAAATAATTGAGAGAGCAAGGTGCTTGAAATACATCATAAACAAATCACAATGACAGGGTTTTATGGCTTCTTAAGGAGCTCTCTGTCAGCTGCCCAATAAAACAGACATGAAGGACAATTTATATATATAGACAACAGTGCTAGATCTATCGGTCATTTTGACCTATTTTACATATCTTACAAGTAGATCCCAGTAATTCTAATAATACTAAAGGGATATAAGTATTAAAGGCTGGGTATGTATATGTATGTTCCTTACATGACATTGTATATGTTATTTTTTTACCATGAATAATATTTCAGTTATTCTTTGGGCAAAACTTTTCTTTCTAACCATTGTTAGTAGGTAAATCTATCATATGGTATACTGGTAATTCATACTGTGTCATTCAATGGCACCTGATCTTACCTCTGATGTTTTAAGGGGTCCATGTTTGCTCTTCTTCCAGTTTGTATAATTTAGTGAACTTTTCAGCTTGATTACTCATTATCTTCAAAATTCATGTTATTGTTGATCATGTTGATATTATTTTGCAGAAATTTTACCGTACAATGAGTGAGTTGAAATCGGAGGTGGAACATGTGATTAAGAGTGGGCGACAGATTGTGGAGAAACAACAGGTGGAGTTTCCTGATAAGTTAAACAAACAGATGGATGCCCTTAAACAGCAGTACAATGATCTAGGGGGCCAGGTAAAATCATATTTCAAATAGAAGTCCATTTATCTATGGCTAATATTACAATCTAATATTCAAATGGTAGTGCAATGAAAGCTTGGGTATAGGGTTTCAAAGAATCAAGTTGTTAAGAGGGGAATTCAAATTTATTTGTATTTAAAGGTGTTTTATGGTATTAAGAAATAAGTATCAATGCACCAACCCAAGAGTCTCACTGTAAAGCATGTAGGTTAAATAATCTGTTCCATCAAAGATGATTTTAAATATTCTGCACTTTATAGGTCACGAAAGGCAAGTCCTCCTTAGAGAAAGCATTGAAGCTGGCCAAAAAGTTGAAGAAGGAGACAACCACAGTAAAAGACTTCCTGGACTCGGTCAACAAAGACTTGGATACCAAGGAGGACACAACTGGAGTCCGGAATCTGGATACAGATCTCTCTTATGTCAAGGTAGAGAAAGGGGTTCTCCATGTTTAAAAGAAAGATCCATCTTAAAATTAACAGAAAATTTACTCCAAGGGTCTTTTAAAAGAAACTAGTTGACAAAATGTAAGCAGATGAAGCCATTCATATAAAGATAAAAGATTTGTGTAATTTTCAGGGTCCTAAGTTTTCCGAAAAACTTTTGGAAATCAAATGGGTACTAATTTTGCTCCTTTATTAGCAAACATGCTTTTGTGTTCCCAAGTAGATGTTGACTTTTACAATAATGCATCAGTCCCACCATGATGTCTGAATTTCATTACTTATTTTCAGTCTGTACAAGAGGAGATGCAGAGAAGGGTGTCGATGTTGTCCACGATGCGAGAACTGGTGAACCAGATCCAGGATTTGTCAGAGGATAAGGAACTCCCGGAGGCCGTCACTCATATAGAGGGACTCTGTGACGAGTGGGACAGTCTGGCCAAAAGACTGACCGTCAAACGGGAGAAACTATCAGTAGGTTTCTGAAGAAAATAGTAAAAGTGTAGCAGAAATGATAATCCTTTTCAGTTTGAATAAAATGGAGGAGGGGTTGAAATTGTGTGCTTAAGGATGGGGGATGGGGGTGAAGATTTCACTTGTTATGAGGTAAATTTAGCATCAGATTCTAACAGCAAAATGAGCTTACATGTAGCTGTTATTCATCTTTTCTTTCTGATATGATGAAATGTTATGATCATATGAAAATAAAAATGTGTGAAATTTGAGGATGATTAAAACACCAGAAAAAAGACACATGTAGTAATTATTTTTTCCCTACAGGATGACATCAATACCCTAGAACTCCTCTTTGTCGATTTCCAGACTTCGTTAATGAAGGTCAAAGAATGGCTAGCTAAGGCTGAGAGCACATTATCAGCCCATGAGCAGCTCTCTGTGTACCAACAAATGTCTGACTACGAGAAAGAAAAAATCAGCATCCTCCAGGCGGAAATTAATGACCTGGTCGGTCAGGTGGAGGAAGTTAGGGACTCAGCTCTCAGTCTCATGAGTAAGAGTGAGCGCTACAGTGCCATGGTGGAACCAGAGCTCACTCACCTGAATCAGCGCTGGGAAGACATCAGACAAAGGGTAAAGGTCAGTGTGCATGTGTAATCAGACCAAGAGGTGAGAGGTCAGTGTGCATGTGTAATGCGAGTCTGGTGTGAGTGTTTAGCTTTTGTATACCTGTGTACTCATAGTAGATTTGAGACTGCTTCGTAGATAGAAACTTCTAAAAAAAATGCTTTTTTTTAGCTGTCTGCAGGCTTCTTTTTGTTGGAGCTTAAAATTAGCTTTGCTTTATGCATACATTATAGAGTAGATTACTAGCTACATGTATATCTCAGTAATAGTAGGGAAAGGACATGACAATAACTTGAATTTTGGTGAGGAACATACCTAATATGCTGCTGTTTTATGCGATATGGTAAAAGTGCATGAATATTGATTAGTATCTGTATCGCATGAACACCTTTGGTAGATAAATAACAGTTTTTGAATTCTGATTTTCTTTAATTTCAGCAAATTCAAGAGCAACAGACAAAAGATGGTAATGTTTCCATGGAAATTACCAAAACAACAGTCAAAGAGGTATCCCAGAGTTCCATGCTTTCATCGGCTTCCCCTTCTAAGGAAACAGATGATGGGGAATTCCAGGAACAGTATGACACGGTCATGAAGGAGGTCATCGTCCTTGACAACAGCCTGGTCAACAAAGGTCAAGTGACCGCAGACGACTTGTCTGGCAGACCAGAGGAAAAAACAAAGGTAGGGAAGCTCTCCAATGAAAGGAGGAAAATTGAGATGATATTGGGTGCCTTTTTAGCTCACCTCGACGAAGTCGAGATGAGCTTATGCTATACCCCCGGCGTTGGCGTCGGCGTTAGCGTCGGCGTCCCAGGTTAAAGTTTTAGGAGCAAGTCCATTCCCAAGTAACTATAAGCCCTACCTGAACCAAACTTGCATGGATGATGCATCTAGGGATGTACACTACCAGACTTGCTTCGGATGCTGGATCTGACCTACATTTTCTAGATGAGTGACCAGGTTAAAGTTTTTGGAGCAGGTCTATTCCCAAGGAACTATAAGCCCTACCTGGACCAAACTTGCATGGATGATGCATCTAGGAAAGGACACTACCAGACTTGCTTCGGATGCTGGATCTGACCTACATTTTCCAGATGAGTGACCAGGTTAAAGTTTTTGGAGCAGGTCCATTCCACAGGAACTATAAGCCCTATTTGGACCAAACTTGCATGGATGATGCATCTAGGGATGGACGCTACCAGACTTGCTTCGGATGCTGGATCTGACCTACATTTTCATTCCCAAATAACTATAAGCCCTACCTGAACCAAACTTGCATGGATGATGTATCTAGGGATGTACACTACCAGACTTGCTTCGGATGCTGGATCTGACCTACATTTTCATTCCCAAGTAACTATAAGCTCTATTAGGACCAAACTTGCATGGATGATGCATCTAGGGATGGACACTACCAGACTTGCTTCGGATGCTGGATCTGACCTACATTTTCATTCCCAAGTAACTATAAGCCCTAGATAAACCAAACTTGCATGGATGATGTATCTAGGGATGGTTTCTACCAGACTTGCTTCGGATGCTGGATCTGACCTACATTTTCATTCCCAAGTAACTATAAGCCCTAGCTAAACCAAACTTGCATGGCTGATGCATCTAAGGATGGACACTATCAGACTTGCTTCGGATGCTGGATCTGACCTACATTTTCATTCCCAAGTAACTATAAGCCCTAGCTAAACCAAACTTGCATGGATGGTGCATCTAAGGATGGACACTATCAGAGTTGCTTCGGATGCTGGATCTGACCTATATTTCCATACAAGAGACCGGGTTAAATTTTTGGGAACAGATCAATCCGAATGAACTTGAAGTCCTTGATATCTGCAGTATTAACAGTTATGAATATTTGTTTACACGATACGTTTTTCACGCTACTCGCATAGAAATGTGTATATGCCATGTAAGGGGTTAAACACAACTTGCAAGAATATTGTTGTTTGGATGAATACTAAATATTAAGAAAATATGATGTGAGATTTGCATTACTTAAACTGATAACATTCGTCAAGGTGAGCTTCGTAATCTTTGATTACCTATGTTTGGTGTTTATAAAATGCCTCCAAAGTTTAGGAATCATTGAAAAAGTTGTGCGTGATTTATGGACAAAGGAATTTATATAGACAGTTTTTCAAAAGTAATGTTAAATTCATGAATTTTTTTTGTATCAAATAAATGTAAATTTTAGAATTTATTGAACTATTCTTAATTTGTGTAAAACTGCTAGGTAGGAAAACACTGATTTTGTAACATTGATTTTTCAGGTTCTGGAAACAGAAGTGAATAAGTTACAGCTAGATGTATCTGGTATTGCTGATCAGGGAAGACTACTGGCCCATAAAATAGATCTGGATGATCATGACAAGGCCATCCGGATCTACCGACAGGTGGAAGATATGAAGGTCAGTCATCCAGGGGAAGGATAAAGGGAAATAACTCTCAGTAGATTTATTTCAGTAAACTGTTTATCCTATAGCAGTGTAGAAAAGAAATTAAAATTTGAAATTTTGGATAAAAAAGTCATGTCAAATTTTATGTTGACATGATATCTTTGAAATTTGTATGCTTTCTGTTGTTTGAACACTTTTGTCTGAATTTAAGCAATTTTTTTTTTCTAAAATTTGTTGTTCTTACATTGAAAACTGCTTGTAGCACATGGAAAGACATATGAATTTCATCTTTCAAACTTAATTTTCAGTCCAAGTGGAATCAAGTGAAGACAAATGCAGAGAATAAGAAGACAATTATTTTGTCCGTGGGGACGACGTACAGTCAGATACAAAGGGAGATCAAGGACCTCAATGTGTGGTTAGACAACATCGAGAGGAGGATCCACTCGGTCAGGAAGGAGGATCTAAAGGTAATTAGGGGGTGTGGATCATAAGGGATGGAAAATAGGATTCCTGGCGATGATCTAAAGGTAATTAAGGGGTGTGAATCATAAGGGGGGGGGGGGGGGAGGGGGGAATAGGATTCCTGCTTTCCTGGCTTGTATGATCTATCACAGTCTCAATTTTACGAACTTAATTTTTCAGGTGATTGAATAGAATTCTCACTGTAAACTAGTTGTAATTTGCAAAAAGTTTTATTTGCAATTCCGCAGTCTGAAATCCAAGTTCATGTTAAAGATTGCAGTACTCACAGTTATTTAGTTCACATAAATAAAAGATGGATTACATTAATGCTTAAAATCTAACTATGTACAGCAAAACTCAGTTATAACAATGTCACTGGAACCTAGGAAATTACTTTGCTATATCCGTATAAGGAATGCATTAAATTTATGTAGCTGGAGATATAAGATAACTTCGCTATATCAGTGAAATCGCAATATCCGTGTTTGTACTAAGAAAGTTTTGCTGTATGAACCAAAGCACTGTGGAAATATTGCAGCAAAAACTGTTTTTTGGAGAATGAATTTTGAGAAAAGTGGTGCAAACTCATTTTTATGATTAGAAATGTCATTCACTGATCACACAACAAAAAATCTCAGAAAGTGACGATAAGACCACCAGTGTATGAGCTTTTATAAGTGGGGTGTCTGATCAGTCATTGTAATGAACAATGCCAAGATGTGTTACTTCTGTAATTGATTCATCTCTTTTGGTATGTGTTGATAGCTTGTAGATTTTGGCTCTTTCTTATACTTACGAAAATGTTTATTAGGAATGTATCGATATATAACAGTATGTTGTGGTACATTTTTCTTGAAGTCAGTAACTTGTACAGAAATCTAAAATACCAGTTTTTCAGTTCAGTTTGAATTCAGAATTCACATCACTTAACTGCTTTTGAAAAATGTTTTTTTTTTTTTTTTAAGAAATAGAATTTTGTATAATTGATATTGTGGATTGAAATTTTATATTTATTTAACCTATAAGGTAGTTTTTATCCTCTGAAAATTTCAAGATAGATCAAGTTTTCTTTAAAATATAAATATATAATAAAAATCATATCGAAATATCTATTTAAGTCATTTAGAATGGATTTGAAATAAGAGAAAAGTAAATCACTTTAAATTCCAGAGAACTTTTTTTTTCACTTGATTACACTTGAAGACCATCTAATTGTGGAAATTTTATTCTCAAGATTAGTATCATTAAAGATTTGTATACAGAGCCCAGAATTCTTAAAAATTGTGTATCATAGTGAGAGTTAAGTACCGGGGATCTATAGTGTTACAATGCAGAAAAAAAGGAAGAAGGACTAAGAAATGATCACATTCAGGTAAATCTAACACCGTACGAGTTGCTGTATCTGTGAAACATTTATACCACCCTGTAGTTAAATTAAATACTGATCATTTGGCAAGTAAACAACAGCTAGCATCTGTTGCGTCTAAGAGAGTTAGGAATTTTCGAAAATGTTCTGTAATTTTCTCTACTACGCTTGTTGGAGTTTGCTGTGATGGATATAAAACCCTGCAGGGATCTGCCTCCCCCTCCCCCTTTCTTACGGACGTATTGGTTCAGTTCTCCAGGTGAATTTCATCGAAATGTCGGAAAGACAGGCCAGAGGTCATGCTAGGTGTTAACGACCTAGAGTAAAGGCCTGATGATGGAAGTAATCAGCGGTGTTAATTAAGCATGCTCCCAGAAAATTAACCAAGTGATGAAGATCCAGAATTTTTTTTACCTTAGTAAATTCTTCAAGAATTTTTTTTTATAAGTTTCCTTGGTAATGAATTTGTGGTATCCATTGATTGCATTATCTTGAAGAAGATGTCATGATGTGAAGGCAAATAAAACTATATGTGCTGATTTTGTCTAAAACTGAAGTGAAGAATTGATAGAGGAATTATATACACATCTTAGAAATATATGGACACACATTATAAATTATTCATCTGAGTCAAAAGTGCATACATTTTCAAGTCTTGTTAAAATAATGGACACATTTTAAATTTCAACAGGATAAAATTTTATTTTTTGCACACATAGATAAACGAGACAGTCATGCACTAAGATGTGAAAAATTCTGTGGATATTCAGATTGGTGAATTATCATCATTTTATACTAAGGTTCCTTATCTCATGATGCAGAAATAATCGTAATTTGTTGCAAATGATTTGCTGTGCAGTCATGGATCATAATTCTTCCTTGGAAACGGAAATTTTTTTCTATGGAGATAAATTAATCAAGGATTTGTTGGAAGTAACAGTGTGAAGCAAGCACTTAATCTGTTGGTGTTAGAATCATCTTTTAATACTCCATAGACATTGTTTTGTTGGAATTTGTTCATTTTATGCCTTCAGGATGCTTTAGTTTCCAAAGAAATTTTTGCTGAACCATGGTGACTTTAAAGGAATTAATTTCAGGATCTGTATGTGTTTATAACCTGCATTGAGATTATTAGAATAAAATCAATAGGGATTTTCATTAGAATGCAGAGAGTCTGGAATAAAATATCATCTTGTGTCACAGAAAAGAAAATGGTTAATTATGCAAGGTAACCGGAATAAGGAAACTTGATTTGGCCAAATTGGAAGAAAATGGATCATGAGGAAACTTATGAAAAAATGTGAAAAAAGGCCAACTGAGAGTATTTGTGATGGATTTCTATCTTGTCAAAGAAATGTACATTGGTCATGTGATTGTCAGCTGATTCATTAAAAAAAATCCAAAATGGACATCCCAGCTGTGTTTATGATGGTTGCCATGGTATCCATTTTATTTCTGCTCGGCTACATTGCTGTGGTGTTGACATACGGAGTGTGGATGATGCGACAAGTAGGATAAAGTGATTTTTTTGTAATTCTGCTTTTAAGTTGTTTGAAGAGTTGTTGCCCTTGATACAGACTTATTTGATAATTGAAAGAAAGAAAAGAAACCCACATAAAATAATTAAAACATCCCTTACTCAAAAAGAAAAAGAGAGAGAAGACTGATTTGTATAAAAAGTTCTGAGAAAAAAATATTTTTACTGAATGATTGTATACACTGTTACATTAAGAAGGTATATTGAAAA